ACCTGTTCATTGTCACAAGTTACTCCGATACAGATGTATGTGGGTTCTTGGGAAAAACTTGTATTTCATATTTGTTGTTACCCATAATCAGGAAACATTTGATCATGTGAGGGTATTGGAGAAAGTGTTTTCCTTGCTTGTACTCATTGTAATCTACTTAAAGAAAATAGAATGTAACCACACTGTCGTTTTTGTACTCCTTGAAAGATCTTGCAGGGATATAAAAGCTGTGGGAAAAAGAATAAAGGTTGTTGCAACTTGCTCTTCAGAGTTTGTTTCATTCACCAAGATGTGTGTGTAAGGCTGGGTTGGAACCTGTTTCCATCCACCCAATGTGTGAATGTGTGTGTGTGTATGTATATGTATAAAGTAAGAGAAACTTGGAAGAGACCTGTAAGAGAAGCTAAATGAAGAGAAGCTTGTTGGAACCTACCTGCTGGAGTCTGTCTTATGTCATTGTGCGTGTGTGTGTGTGTGTGTCATCTCGTGCACACTTGTGCAATGTGTGCATTTGCCTGTGTGGTCTTTTTCCCTCCTTCTTTCTTTTTTGCCACTGCCGGTGGCAAGCCCAGGCTAGAGCCAACAGCTCTAGCCCACACTGACCATTCTAGGAGTAAGTTCATGTCAGGTAGCTACCAGCACTGGCTGACACCAAGAACAATTAGGTTCTGGCCCCTCCGTTTGCCACTTCCAGTGGAAACAATCATCGGTAACTATCAATTCCAGCCTGGAAAATTACCCTCAGAGAAAGTCCGCTGCCAGCTGTCAGATCTACTCTCCGCCTCAGTTTCCCCTGTTGATGGCCAAGCTGGTCTTCCATAATTTCCCAGTGCACACTCACTCTCTCTTTGTGCCTCATCTTGTGGATCAAGAGTGAGCTCTCAGCTGCCATCGTGGACTCTGACCCTCAAACACTGTGAACCAAATCGCTTCCTTTCCCAAGTTGCCTCTGTCATGGTGTTTTATCACAGCAAGAGAACAGTAACTAAGGCAATGACCACATTAGCTTGGGGAGCAGAGGCTTCATTTCAGCTTACAACTCTCAGGTCACACTCCATTACTGAAGCAAAGTCAGAAGAGGAACTCAAGGCAGGAAGCTGGAGCTGGAACTGAGGCGGAAGCTAGGGAGGAATGCTGCTTACTTGCCTGTTCTCCATGGACTGCACAGCGCTTCCTATGCGGTTCAGGACCACCTGCCCAGGAGTAGCAACACCTGTGACATGGGCCCCTCACATCAGTCAATCAAAACAAATCCTCACAGACTTGCCAACAGGCAATCTTATGGAGGCATTTTCTCAATTAAGATCTTCTATTCCCAGGTATGTCTAAGTTTGTGTCAAGTGGATGTGAAGGAACATAGCTACTCTGGTGAGGGATCACATCCCAAAAACCTAGGTTTGTGTGATCTGGCCAGAATATAGGCATGCCCTTTTTATTCACCTTTATTACCTCTGGCTGAAATTCAGACATGCCTTTAGTACACACCTTTAATCCCAAACAATGCTGTCTAATTGAGGGACAGACAAAGTGGTGAATCAAAGAAAGATTTGACTGAATGAGTCAGAGATATGCCCAACTCTCACAAGGAAAGACAGGAAAGACAAGCTACTTAAGAGCAGCACAGTACAGGAACACAGAGGTCAGTGCAGGCAGTTCACCTAAGGCTGTGGAGGTCAGAGGCAGTTCGGCCAAACAGAGCAATTCAGTGAGAAGCTGAGAAAGGCCAATTTGAATCAGTCAGCTTAGAGAGGAGTTTTGAGCCAGAAGAGCTGAGTTGAACCAGCCAGCCAGACTGCAGAAAGAATTGGAAAGGGTGAGTTCATTCAGCAGTGAGTCTCAAAGGCTTAAAACATTCTAGGCCTAGGTGAGCAGAGGAAGGAGACTGGAAGCTGAAGCCTTCAAGGTCTGGGGGCTTGCAGAAGATTAGACTGTACAAAGGCTAGAAGCTTCCAGGCCTAGGCCTAGGGATATTTACATAGAAATACTTTGGGCTCAGACCAAACCATGTATTAGTATAGCTTGGATACAGCTCTCACCTCATCTCATCTGAGGAAATAAAAATGGCATTTACAAGTGGACAAAACCCAACGAGCACAGCCTCCAGCTAATTAGCCAGGGCTGGCCCTGAGCTCCAGGCCTCTTGCTTCCACCTCCCAAGCACTAGGATTGTAGGCATGTTCATTTTTCTGTGATTATATCTGCTCAGGTGTCTAAATTTAAAGCCCTAATTACAACACATCATTTAGAAAAAAACAAAGTAGCTAATATTTACAGTCACCAGCCTTTGGAGCAGTAGCTGATCACGGCATGCTGCAGAAACAAAGAAGAGTTCTAACTCCCCTGGCCAGCATGTTCAAATGGCCAACAGATACCAGGATTCTTAGACAGTATTTACCCAGGTAATCGGCTATTTTAAAGATTAGGGATCTGGAGAGATGGCTCAGAGGGTAAGAACGCTGGCTGCTCTTCCAGAGGGTCAAGTCCAGCACCCACATGGCACCCACATGGCAGCCGACAACTCAGTTCCGGAGTATCAGACATCAACTTCTGGAACACAGGCACCAGGCACATGAGTGGTACAAAAACATATATTTAAGGAAAATGCCCAAATCACCTGTACACATGGGAAAAAAACAAACAAACAAAAAAAAAAAACCAATGAGGGAGAATTTTCTTAACCTCAGGATGGGGGTTGAGAAAGTGGCTCACAGGGCCAACACCCCCATTCAATTCCCTAGCACCCACATAAAAAGCTGAGCATGGCCACATTTGCACCCATAACCTCAACACTGGGAGGTGGGGCAGAGCTGAGAAAGAAGGATGGCTGAAACTTTCTGGCTGCCAGCCTAGCTCCAGATCACTAACAGACCCTGTCTCAAGGAAAAAAAAGCGGGGAGAGATAAAGCAGGACACCAGATGCCCTCCTCTGGGTTCCTCAGAAAAACAGGCAGTGTTCTCTCTCTCTCCTCCTCTCTTCTCTCTCTCTCTCTCTCACACACACACACAAATAATGGCCCAGAACCACTCCTGCCCTGAGGGTGTGCAAACACCGCTTGCCAGCAGGTGGATTTGAAGGGATGAAGCTTAGGTGGGCAGATGGGTTACATAGGACTTTGGCTGACAGTGAGTTCGGGGAGCAACAGCCTTCTCTGAGTCCATTTTCAGTGACAGAGCTCTCTTTTATTGGGGGTAATAAGGGCTTTATAACCTTGGGAAAGTGAGTGGGGTTTTTGTGGTGAGTGTCTTTCCTTGGCTGGGGCTGGCTGGGAATGCTTCATTTGCATGGAGAGGAATTCCAGTTGCTAGCTGGACTTGTCCTTATAAAGAATCAAAGCTTTAACCAGAAGCCTGCCTCTAGGCGACTTGAGCACCTCCAGAGTGGCAGAGGTGTGTGGCAAGGCTACAAGCATGGGGGTGTGGAGGCCTGCAACTACAGGCCTGGAGCTGGGAGGGAGTGGTCCTTACTCCTGCTGCTCTCAAGATGAGATTGTCGGGGTTTGGACATGTCTCAACCTCACTCTTGCTCCAAGCTTGCTTCCCCCAGTTGCATGGCTCCCCTGCCGCACACGCATACACACACATAGGCCACACACAAACATTCAGAATTGCTTAGTCTTTCACAGTGAGCTTCTGGGAAACAAAGACCTAGATGAGTTAAAACCAGGTGATTTTGTCTATTGGAGAAAACATCTTCCACACTGAAGACAGAATGGCCCCTAACAGATAGATTCCTGTTTCTCGTCTCACTTCTCTCACACATTCTGAGGACATGTCCACACAGACTTCGGGAAAGCTGGTGATCCTGGACCTCAACTCCATCGGAAACTGAGAATTCGGAACGACAGAACTCAACCCCCTGGCACATTTCTAGCAACCCTGATGATTCCATAAATACGTCTTATTCAAGAACCCCGGGTTACTGGACTGAGAGTAACCTTTCATTATCTTTTTTTTTTTTCAGTACAACTATTTTTTTCTTTTTAGGGGAGGGGTATGGGGGCTGAACCTAGTTCTGACTCACGCTAGACAAGCCCTCCCCCACGAAGGTACAGCCCTGCCCCAGTATAATTTGGCTAAAGACAAATCTCAGGTTTTAGAATGGCAAAGACTTATTTGAAATCTTTCCTTCATTCTTTCATTAAAAACAATTCTTGAAATTTTTACTGGTTTCCCCTTCTCATAGAAAATGAGTAATTATATACGGCGTTCTTACAACTCTACTTTCTTCCCTTTGCTGGTGGAATCTAGAAATCACGCTATGTCACGTGACGTCTCTGCACACCCGAACGGCGCTGCACTGCGGATTCATACAGCCACCTACTGGCGTGTGGGCACTGACGCCGTCCGCAGAGCTTTGCCCCTGCCGCGGAGGTTCCTAAAGGGCAAAATCACCAAAGCGGCAAGTGCGTCCAGGACAAACGCACACGCAGTGCGGTGCTCCTCGCCAGAATTCCCTTCACGGGAAGAACTCCGCCTTTCCTGGGCGGTCTGGGCCCAGCTTGGAGGAGCCCCGCGGGCGGGGAGGCGTGAGCGCGGCGCTGCGGCCCGCGGGCGGGACTCCGAGCATCCCCGGCAGAAGCCAGGCATTGCGTCATCGGCCCCTCTTCGCACGGACTTCCTGTCACCTCAGTCAAGACGCGTCTACACACAACGGGCCCTAATCCTCCACCCGTGCGGTTCGCTGGAACGGCCTGACCACTGACCGCTGGCCCTAACATTCCCTAACGATTCCTCCGCCTACGCACGCGCTCGGCGGGAGGCCACGCCCAGCGAGTTCCGGCCTCGCGGCGCCAGGCCTGCGCACTGGCGACGGAGAAGGTCCCCGGATGCAGCCCCACCGGAAGCCCCGCCCCTGGAGCGGAAAAAGTCGCACTGCGGTGGGCGGCGGCCCCGGCCCACGCTGCGGTGCCGCGGCGACATCCCCGCCGGACCCTCCGGCCCGTGGACCGCCTCAGCCCGTCGGCGAATCGCGACGCCCGCCAGGGCGCCGCCCCGCTCACCTCGCTGCCCGGGTCCGGCCGCCCGCTCCGCACAATGGTCGCGCTCAGTCCCGCCGCGCCCCCTGGCGGCCGCGGCGAGCAGCGCGCGGGAGTGCGCACTGCGCAAAGCGGCCTGTGCCGCGGGGACGCGCAGCCGGGCTGCAGCGGCCTGTGCCGCGGGGACGCGCAGCCGGGCTGCAGCGCCCCGCGCCGGGATCCGCCCCTGCAGTCCGGATCCGTAGCCCATCCCCCGCAAAGCCAGGCTTGCCTTCGCGCTGCACAGCGTGCCAGACACGTTTGCCTCCGGGTACCACCCGGCGGCGTCTTTTTCCAGCGCCAGAAGACAGTTGCTCGGTTTTCCCACCCAGCATCTAGCAATTCAGTTGCTAAGCCAGCTGGTGCAGTTGGAAAAGCCCGCCCCACTTAAGATGGCAGCCCCGAGTGGGAGTCTAAGCCACCCTCATTTCTGCGCATCCGGTCGGAATTGGGAGATACCCACGTGAGAAACCAGGTTTAAGTAGGCCCCTAGAACAGCGCTTCCCAAACTGTTTCCACTCCTGAAGATAGCACCGCTTTCGCCTAGGAAATTTTCACACAACCCAGATGTAGAGAGATCTGCAAGGTGATTCTTCGGCTACTTGGGACTTTATCATTCACTAAAGATGAAAGCCAAGTGCTTGGTGTTGCAGAAAGAGTAAATGCTGGCTATTTGATACTGTGGAAATACAGTGTTGTGCTAGTACACGAGAAAAGTTCCTTTCCGCTTTCACTTGTAGCCCACCACGAAGTGGGGGTGAGATCGGAGGCAGGAACTGATGAAGAGGCTGGGATGGGTGGGGCAGGGCGGTGTTTTCTGCCTTGCTCTGCTAGCTGGCTTATATAACCCGGGATCACTTGCCCAAGTGTAGGACAACCACATTGGCTGAGCCCTGCTACATAAGTCATTAGTCAAGAGAATACTGCCAAGGACTTGTCTACTAGCCAATCTTCTGTCCGTTCATTTCTTTGTTGCTTATGTTTTGAGATAGGGTCTTTCTGCCCAGCTCTGGCTGGCCTGGAACTCCTATGTAGACAGACTTGACTTGAATGTACAGAGATCCTGCCTCTGCCTCCTCAGTGCGGGACTGTAGGCCTCTAGACCTCTCTCTGGTTTTCCTGGTTCACCTTGTAAGTGACTGATAGGAACACACAGCCCACTGTTGCTAAACAACACTAGAGACCCAGAGCAACAGCAGTACCCACCTGGGACAGAGCTCTCCAGAACCCTGAGCCATGCCAACCTTTTCTCTCTTGCTTCAGCACTCAATTGCAACGCAAGGTAATACCAACAGCCAGATCCTGTGGCCCTTTCCATTTGGAGGACCCTGTAGGTGTCACTCATCACCTATGAGATCCCAGAGAAAAGGCAGACTGAAGTGTGCTCCCGCATCATCCTAGGAGGCAGCACACAACTCTGGCCCTCTCCAGCCAGTGCTCCTCATGGGCCTGAGCCATCTGAGGCCATTAGGGGGAAGAGGGGCCCTGGCAGTGGATCAGCTAGGTTCCTGTCCCAAAAGGTTACTTGGGTGCAGAGGGAGGAGTGCTGGGTCTCCAGGATAAAGATGTTGTAGGGCAACTTCCAAAATTCCAACACTCAGCAGCATCATGGGGCACGGAGCACAAATCCTCACCGAAACCCTGAAGTAACTCAACAGGGGAAAAGGACAGCAACTGCAGGCTTTGAGAGCATACCTTCCGGCCCAGGCCAGCCCCCTCCCATCCTTCTCCACCTCCTCTTTTCCACCCTCCCTCGCTAGGCCACTAGTCAGTGTCCAACAATCAGAAACCGTCAACGTCTCACTTCCTACAGGGGCCGGTCCCAACCCCTGACCCAGCTGGCTTGGAGGTAATGCTAAAGGAGCCGGCAAGCTATTTCTAAACTAGGAGTGTGTTTCTGAGTTAAGGTGGCCTTAGAATCCAAAAGCAGAGAACTCTGAAGCTCCTTTTGTTAGGAGCTGAACTGTTGAAGCCACGTCCCAGTGGCTCGCACCTGAAATCCAAGCACTGAGGAAGCTGAGACAGGATTGCCAGGAATTTTGAGAACCTGTCTCAAAAAGCAACCAAATAAAAGATTAACAAAAGCCTGTAACTTCCAGTTCCGAGGCCTAGGACCTTCGGGTGTGGGGTCGCCAGTCCTCTGACTGGTGTTTTCACGTTTGGTTTCTTGGTTCTCTAGTGTTAGTAACGCTGGATTTAGAAACTGAATCGGAGGCCTTGCACTGCAGGTGAGTGTTCTGCCGCTCACCCACGTTCCCAGCCTCACCCGATGTGCAGATCGAAAAGCAGCACTGGAAAACCATCTAAGGCAGACTGTCATGCAGATCAGAGCCAGGAGAGGCTCAGGAGGGGAAGGCTGTGGCCTACCCAGGTGTAGAGTGATGAGCCTGGAGAATGGGGTGCTCAGAAAAGAGCAGCTGAGCCTCCAGGCTGGGTGAGATAGGGAATCCTACCGACTGGTGGATTTCGCCTTCTCTGCCAGCTCTGGGCACACAATGCATTGCTCCGGACTGCCTGAAGCTGATCTATTTCTGTTGCTTATCTTTGGCATTTATATTGGCATATACACTGAATTACGCACATTTTAGTTTCCCAGGGGACACGCTGTTTGATTTTTTTCCCATGTCTTTATGATTTAGCTTTTTGAAACACTTTCCAAAGTTACAAAATGTAATATTAAAAGTTCTGATCAATGAAAATATTTTGTTCCTTGTTATGGCTTGGATGTGTCCCCCAAAATTCACATGCTGGTAACTGGGGAGTTTCCAGTTGTTGTTCCTGACGTCTGAAGGTGGAGCATTTGCAAGATAGGTGGGCAGCAAGATGGTGGCTGGTGGCAGAACTACCTACGGAGTGAGCTGGCACGCTTGCTGTTTGTGGCTATGTGACACAGTCCTTCTTACCATGAAGCCAAGAGTCTGCGCCAAATGCTGCCGCCACAGCTTGGACTTCCTAGTCTCCACACCCGTTACCTGGGTTTGGGCATTTTCTTATAGCAGCGTACAATCTTATACATGGTCCTTGATAGGGTACCTATTCAAGCCCCCATCAGTAATAGCAATATATCAAGGCATAGTGGTACCCGTCTGCAGTCCCAGCTGATAGAATGAATATCTATTCATAGAAACGTTCATATTTTTGTGTATATACAGAGAGAATTGGGGTGGCTTGCGGCTGGTCCGGCCAGTCCAACAATGGCAGTGTCTCTATGAGAAGGCCGAAGTTTTTCAGTCCATGGGCTGGATGTGGCAGCTGGCCTTCGGTCTAGAGCGGAATCCTGAGGAAGTAGGGTCTCACACCAGTGAGAGGATGTCTCAGCAGCAGGGTAGGTAAGCACGCCAGCCGGCTCGGTGCTGTGGCGCACGCCTATACTCCCAGCACTCAGGGAGGCAGAGGCAGGTGGATCTCTGTGAGTTCGAGGCCAGCCTAGCCTACAAAGTGAGTCCAGGACAGCCAAGAATACACAGAGAAACCCAGTCTCAGATAGGCAGATGACTGGATGGTTGAGAGAGCTCACGAGTGTCCACAGGACAGAGTTCAGATTCTATCACTCACATGGCATGGCTCACAGACACCCGTAACTCCAGCTCCAGTTTTCTTTTGGTCTCCGGACAACTCACACACATGCACATAGTCTCACACAGACACATATACAGGACACATACACATAAATAAAACAAGAATAATTTTAAAATGTAAATTAATTAAATAGGGTCAGTGCTTGAACAGTTGCCTGGCAGGCATGAGGCCTGGGTTCCCTTGCGCTAGCACTACAAAAAAATTGGAAAAGAATGTTTCAGTGCTCCTTGGAGCACAGTGACTCCATCCATTTGTTCCCCATTGGCAGCGTCCCCTCGCCAGCAAGAGCAGATTTCTGTATCTGCTCAGATTTCACCTCTGCACAGCGTGGTGCAGGGTAAGGAAACAATGCCTGTTCTTCCCTGCTGCCCTTGCAAATGAGTGTGGCCATGTGATCAGGTCCCCACTAGGACATTAGCAAATGTGATGCATGCAGCCTGTGGGCCTTATCCTGAAAGACAACTAGACAACGTGTTGTAGACCGAATGTTTGCGTGTCCTCCCCTCCCCCAGCCCCAAGTTCACCTTAAAGCCTGATTCTCAGGGTGGTCAGAGGAGGCTTCGGCCTTCTGGGAAGCGATTAGTTCCTGGCAGTGAAGCCTGAGGTGGCGAATTTGATGGCTAACTCTACAGAAGCTAGAGGCATGTAGCAGACATTCCTTTTCAGGCACCCACGAGGGAATTTCAATACTGGGCTAATTAAGGTGAGAAGACCTCCCTCAGACAAGGATTGATTGCACCGTTCATTCCCTGACTTGAATCCAAGGCTAAATAAAAACAGGAAAAGCTGATCACAGCATTCACTTCTCTCTGCCCAGCCTGTGGCACCATGTGGCCTCACTTTGCTCTCCTGTGCCATGATGGACTGAACTCTTTCTTGTAAGTCAAAATAAAAGCCCCTCCCTTAGGTTGTTTTCATTGGGGATTTGATCACAGAAACAAGAAAAGTGACTAGTATGGACCCTCACAGAAGAAGCCCCGGGGTGGCCGACCTTTCTCCATCACAGGGAGAGCTAACATCTGTGAACAGGTTCTCAGCACACATGGAATCCAGCAGCTCCTGGAGTGTGGAATGCCCAGCCTCCATGATTAAGAGAATCTGTTTCTGTCAACCACAAACCACTGAGTCTACACTGCTGAATCAGAGCGAGCATAGACTCCCCTACACACGCGCCCTGTGCTGTCCCCTGGAATATGGACGTGGGGAAACGCCACCTTATGTCACAAGGACCATAATTGTACCTGCATCGCCCTGCTGAGCTGCGCAGACGTGCTAGCTCTGGACCCCAGAGAGATGGCACTGGTGGATCATGGTGTTTGACACCGAAGGGCAGTCAAATTCACCCACACACAACACACAGAAATTGTTTTCTTGCTTGCTTTCTTCCTCCCTTCTTGTTTTTCCTCTCTCTCTCTCTCTCTCTCTCTCTCTCTCGGTTTTTTTGAGACAGGGCTTCTCTGTGCAGCCTGGCTGTCCTAGAACTCCTGCTATAGACCAGGCTGGTCTCAAACTCAGAGATCCGCTTGCCTCTGCCTCCTGAGTGCTGGTATTAAAGGCATGTGCCACCTGGGCCCTGTTGTTTTTTTTTGTCATTGTTTTGGTTCCAGGCTAGCCTGGAATTGTTGTTAGCTGAGGATGACCATTACTTGCCATCTTCCTGCCTTCAGCTCCTGAGTGCTTCGGGTATAGGTGTGTGCCACCAAGACTGGCTTGATTTGCTTTGCTTTCAAAGGCTAGAACATTCATGCACGTATGCACGTTTCTAGGACGCACCAAAGGAAGCAGTTGTTCCCCCCATGTTCCCCCATGTTCTCCACGCTGTAGCTGTTGTCTGCATACTCGGGGGATTGGTTCCAGGACCATTGTAGACTCCAAATCTTATGTAAAGTGATAAAATGCTGAGCTAGGTGCTAGCTTTGTGGTCGAAAGAGGACACACTATGAGCTGGGGACCAAGCCATCAAATCGTGGGCCTGTAAGGTACTTTAGATTCTAATCATCACAGGGATCTTTTGAATCTTCACTTCTGAAGCTGTCCACAGCAAGTACACTGCAATGCTTTTCTCTTGTTGACTTGTCTTTTGCTGTAGGTATATTGGCTGCGACCTTCATGAGGGAGGGGGAGATAGCACATCTTTCTGCACCAAAGCAGGACTGTGCCAAAGGCAGACGAAATGTAGATTACATGAAGAGCGACCAGTAGAACAACACTCAGCATCAACAAGGAGGGAACCTGGACCATCGAGACAGCTCAGGAGAAAGGTGCTTGCTGTCAAGCCTGTCTGCCTGCGTTCAGTGTCCAGGATCCGCAGCACCATCGAGCGTCCGTGCTCAACCGTAATACCGGGGGGTGTTCCTCAAAGCACCGCAGAAGGTTCTGTTTAAGAAGGCCAGCATAGGGCTGGAGAGATGACTCAGCACAGGACTCCTCCAGAGGTTCTGAGTTCAATCCCCAGCAACTACAAGGTGGCTTAAAACCCTCTATAATGAGATCTGCTGCCCTCTTCTGGTGTGCAGGTGTACATGCAGATAGAGCACTCATACATAAAATAAATAAAATTTAAGAAAAGAATTTCAGTATAACAAGAGGAAAGCTCCGGGGGGAGCCATAGGGAGGCAGCTGCAGGCTGTCAGCACCCTCAAAAGGGTCGGGATGGGAAATTTTAAATTATGTAACTTAAAAAAATAATGCCACACACAGAATTTAAACCTAAAACATATCTCTTATGTCGAAGGAACAAATACACTCTAGTTGTTGAATTTCGGAAAATCCCGAGGGCTGACAAGATGGCTCAGAGATAAAGGCGCTGGCCAGGAAGCCCGCCAATCGACGTTCACCCCCTGGACACATCAAGGAAGGACATGGCTGACTCCCAAAAGCTGCCGCCTACCCCACACAAGGGAGTGCACACGCACAGTGCCGTGCAAGCCCTCCCCACAGCTGTGTAAATGTAGGTCAATTTTATTTTAAATCTTGAACTCAGGGCATCATTCATTGGTAGAGCAATAGCAAGCATGTATGAGGCCTTGAGTTTGATTCTCAAGCAGTGAAAGAAAAACAATAACATGAAGAGTAATAATGGCATCTGAGAGCTTCTAAAACAGCTTCCAGAGCTGTGGAAGGCTCTGAAGGACAGATAACAGGAAGCAAGGCCGAGGCAAACAGAAGGAACGGAAATTATCGCTTCCTTGCTGGTCCTCCGCACTGTTTATGTAAAAACACTCCACCCTCTTAGATGTTTTGGCTTTGGTTTCCTCCTGGAGGAAACCTCTGATGGACATCTTCTCTCTGTCTCTAAGAACTCATGAGTCAGTATGTGAGCGAGATTTTTTTAATTAAAGACTAGAGAGCTCGAAATACGATCTCCACTTATTTCCGACCTCACCATCTGAGGTGGAATTAATACCCTTGAAATTGGGTAGGTTTTCCTAGATTATATGCCATGTGCCCAGCGAACTTTCTGCCAAGTGACGTTCTCTTGTGTAGATATCTCCCTGGACTCAGAGTTTGGGAAGTTATTACACTCAGATACAAAAGGCCTTTGCGTTCTCCATGATTTGGTTGTGGATTTCTTTTGCTGTAATTTGTTTGTCTATTTTGTAGGACTAAAGATCCAATCAAGAGGTCAACCTAGGGCCTCTTGAATGCTAAGCATTCTCTGGCGCACACAGAGGCTGAACTTGACTAGTTCCTCTTTCCTGGAGAGTGAGTCAGCTGCAGAACCCACGTGGACATTTGGTCCTCACCTGTTAAGGTGTCAGGTCTATCCTTCACACTTCTCAAAGTTTCATTTATTCAGCATATCTCAAGGTGGCTGGGAACTTGTGGGCATTGATTCTATACCTTGAGCTGTAAGCAAATATTCTGTTACCCAAACTGTTCATGCCTTGACCACAAAGATCTTCCATTTCTCTTGGCATAAGTAAAACTGAAAAGAGCAAAGAGAGCTCGCCATGCGTGCTGCAGAGCGCAAGTGCTGAGCTTCGGCCTTGTGCCCTTATTTTTGGTGCTGTTCAACCCTGGGTTTCTGACCAGTGATTTTCCAGAGCTTATTTAATCTCTCTAAATGCCAGTTTCTTCTACTTAAAAAAAAATTTCCTGTGCAATGGTGTTTTGCCTGCATGCATGTCTGTGTGAGGGTGTGAGTTACATATAGTTGTGAGATGCCATGTGCTGGAAATTGAACCTGGCTCTAACCACTGAACCATCTCTTCAGCCAAACTCAACTGTATGGGCGCAGGTATTCCTGAGGGGCAGGCATGGGCCCACAGAAGCAGAAGAGGGCGGCAGAGCTCCTGGAGAGCCTGCCAAGAAACACCTGATGTGAGTACTTAAATTCCACAGTCTGCAAGCTGAGTCACAGGCTCCTGAGCCATCACTGGGCCCCTGACAGAAGATTCTTAATCTGCAGACTGAGGACAATACCGGATTTGCAGGCCCAGGGTTGGGGACTGGAGCCTGAAGGTTCCCAGCAGGGACAGCCTCACAGTTGGATGATGGGAGGTTCTGGAGATGAAGTGGGTGATGGAGGCCAGCTGTGTGTGGAAAAAGATGCTGCCACCAAAGAGTTTTGTCCCCAGATTCCATATGGGGGACAGAGGTCCCAATTTCCACATGCCCTGCCCATACACATAAGTAAGTAAGGAAAGAAAGAAAGAAAGAAAGAAAGAAAGAAAGAAAGAAAGAAAGAAAGAAAACTGTGAAAACAAATTAATCCCGTCAGAAGCTCTTTCTAGTCTTTATCTAAGGCCTGGAGCAATGGCTCAGCCAGTAAGAGCACTTGTTGCTCTTGCACAGGACCTGGGTTCATTCCCAGCCACCCACAAGGTGGTTAGCAACCACCTGTAACTTTGGGTAGCACCACAGACAATGTACACAGCAACACACACAATAAAACGAGTAAATCTAAGGAAATCTTTTCTCTGTTTTCGAAGTGTCTAGAACTTGGTAGAAGCTCCCCAGAGAATTGGATACAGGAGTGTGGAAGAGAAAACGAAAGACCTGTGAAAATTAGTTAGTTTCTTTTCGACAAGGTTCCTCTGTGTAGCCTTAGGCTGTAAGACCCTGTAGACCAGGATGGCCCCAGTATCACAGCGATCCTTTCCACCTGCCTCTGCCTCCAAGTGCTAGGATTAAAGGCGTGCACCACCACCCGGCTTAATATGAATGTATTTTTATTAGCTGTACAATGTTCCCTCAACCTTTTTTCCCCATTAATTTACATCCTGATGGAAGCCCTCTCCTCTCCTCCCAGCCTCCCCACACACACCCATTCTCCCCTCTCCTCAGAGAAGGAATTCCCCCATTCAATATTCGCTATTGGCTGTCATTCTCTTTTCACTCTCAGAAGATGCCTTTAGTGCTGCGCTGCAGTAGAACTTGTGAGCTCACGGGTACCCGCGTCAAACTTCCTTAAAGGGCACCCAGGCGCAGACAGAAACCAACCTGACACCTTGCTGTGCTCTGTACCTTCTTTTGCCCACCCCTCCCCCAACAGACTAAAATCACCAAGGGCTTTTAATTGTGCGTATCAGGTTTGTAATTTCTCACACTTTTCCACTTTTCTGTTTGCCTTTAAATGGGGTTAAATATTTCCCAACTCTTAAACAAGCCGTAGGGGAACATTTTGTTCCCCGAACATCTTTGGTTTTTAAAAACAGTCACTCAATTTAAACGATGCGGTCCAAGCCGCGGCCCTCACACGCGCTGGGTAACAGGTTAGTGGGAAAAGGGGTGCCCAGGGGTCCTGGCTGGCGACCCCACCCCCATCTTCGGGCGCCCCCGCCTGCTCTCGTCGCACCCTGCTGTCACCCACTCGTGGGCTGTCCCGGACGGACCCTCGGTTTGCCCCACACCCACGTCTCGCGGGGGACTCTGGGGGGGCGGGGTTGGAGGGCCGGACGCTCGCGGATCAGAACCCGAAGGCAGCGGGGACGCCCCGTCTGTCCGGTCCTGCGCTTCCCGCTCCGCGGCCCCCGGCTTTCCTTTGTCCCTTCTCTGGACACGGACACTCAGCGCTCCCGCCGTCCGGTGGGCCTCCTCCGTGAGCAGCTCTAGGCTGCGCTCCACCCTCCCTTTCTGCCGTCGTGTCCCGCGTCCCTGCCCTGGCCCTCCTCCCCTGCCCTCCCCCTGCCCTCCCGTTCTTCCCCTCTTCCTCCCCTCCCCCTGCTCTCCCCCTCCCTCTGCCCCATCCCCTGCCCTCTCCTTCCTTCTCCCCTCTCCCTCCCTTCCCCTTCCCTCCCCTCTCTCCCCTCTCCCGTCCCTTGCTCTCTCCCCTCCCCTTTCCTCCCCTCTCCCTTCCCCTGCCCTCTCCCCTCCCCTCCCTGGCTCCCGCCCCCGTGTTTAAACCTGGCGGGGAGCGAGCCGGCGGGCGAGCGCGCTGGGCTAGCAGGACCCGGCGCCGTCGGGCTGCAGGACGCGCGCGCCCCGGACGATGAGACCCGAAGCGGCCGGAGCCCGGGAGGCGCGGGGACGCCTCCGCCGCTGTCCTGGGGAGGACGATCCTGGGAGGCCACCGCTGCCGCGTGGCCCGGGGAGGTGAGGTGCGGCCCGGGGAGGTGAGGTGCGGCCCGGGAGGGCACCCGGAGCTGGCAGCTCGGGGCGGACCCCGCACGCTCGCGCGGGCGTCTGGGAGGCGCGGCCCCCTCGGGAGTCCTGAGGTCGGTCCAGCCCCGGGCGAAGCTGCAGAAGGCCCTGACGGCGCGTCACCCCGGCCGTCCCCTTCCCCTGCTGGCCTCCAGCCCGGGCCCCGCGGGTGAGAAGGCGGAGGGAGCCGGCCGGGGGAGGGGCGGGCAGGCGGCGCGAGACCCCTGGCTGGAGAGGTCGGCTGGGGAGAAACGCCTCGACCGGCCCGACAGCGCCGCGTGCGGGCTCACCGCCAGCGCGTGCTCGGCCGCGGGGCCGCCCGGGAAGGCGCTGTGCGCGGGACCCCGCGGGGCGCCGCGTTCAGCCTCTCCCGCTCGTCTCCAGGTCCGTCCCAGCCCCGTGGAGACCGTGGGTGCCGCCCCCTGGAGACGCCGCGCTGGCCAGCTCTGGAAGTCAGGTAAGCCAGGTGTGGATGCGGGCAACGGCCAGGCCAGAAAGTGGCACCATGGCTGGAATAGTTAAAAAGCAAACAAAAACCAGACAGGTCTGCTGCTGCTTGGTCTCCAAACCCCGGCTGCCAGGCAGGGGCTGAGGGCGCAGAGGCGCCAAAGGGCCCATTGGGCTCCTGGTGGCTTCTCCAGGACACAGCTGTCCTGGTAATTACGTAGGGGAGGAGGAGGGTCTGTGAGCCTGCAGGTGTGGAAGGAAGGTGCAAAACCCAGCGCCTTAGAGAAAAGCTGTCTGTGTGCCACCGTGCAAAGAAGGCAGACCCCCACCTCAGCGCCCAGAAGGCGCAGTTTAGCGCCAGCCATTGTCTGGCCATGTCCCCAAGAACTCCTGGAGGAACTTCTGTTGTCTGTGCAAATACACTCAAGCAGAGGGCTTTGTAGGCAGAGGTAATTGCCGCACTGTTCCTTTATCTTGGCATTGTCAGTTAATTGCCTTGAACTTATGGAGGTGATGATTGGCTTGCATCTGTTATACTCTCAAAACTACATTGACTTTTAAAGCAGTGGAGTTAGCCCAGAAAGGACCACATATTTTGTTTATGTCACACCTGCGGGATATAGCTTAGTGAGCAGATGTGGGATATGGTAAGAAAAGTTAAGTGTGGCATTTTCCCTCTATTCTATTGCATTCAGACTCAAGTTCTTAAAAGTAAGAGTTTAAAGGAGAAACTCACAAATGACTCACTTAAAGTTTTCCTTTAAGTGAAGCAAACTGTGGTCTCTCAGCTGGGCATGAGACTAGAAATACTGCATGGTGCAGGGCCCGAGGCCAGTGGCTTCGCTGTTGTGATGAGAATGCCTCTTGTGGGGATGTTCAAGCACAGCGCCTTTCTACTTGACTGCACTTCCCACAAAGCAGCTAAGCCCTGGATCTGGGGGGGGGGGGGCAACCTGACGCTCTGTGGGGTTATGGAGCTGGCTGCCTTCCCACACCCCGTCGGGGCTGGAGCTTGGGGTCTACCCCTGGGTCTGTCTTTGTCATGAGGCTCTGGCTTTACCAGGGAGCTAATTCCCAGCTTTAGCCAGAATGCTGTCATAGCCTCTGGCTCCCTGCCTCAGTCGGTCTGACCCCCCAGCAGCAGGATGGTGTCCTGGGCTTGGGCTGCAGGGCTTCTAGCTGATGAGACCCGCTCTTGGCAAAACCAGAAACTCCTCAGTCCTAGCCTCCATGCAGCTGAAGAAGGATTGGTCCTGAGGATGCAGCAGGGCCTGGAATGTCTGATGACAAGCAGATGTTTCTTGGCCTCAGTACACATCCGTCCTGTGCACTGTCCACACTGCCAGGGGCCTGTCCTGCCCTGCAGGCTTCCCAGCACAGCCTTTCAGTCAGAGGTGCGTGGCTGGAGTCTGTTCTCCGGAGCTTAGTACGGTGCACACGCCTTAAACAGTTCTTAGCTGGTTTACCTTCCTAGTCCCACTTAATTACCAAAGTGTGAGTGTCTCAGAATTTCTGTCCGTGAGAGCCAACCTTTTACTAAGATCCTGCTGAAAGCCAGGTGTGGCGGCTCATGCTCGTCATCCCAGCACCTGGGAAGATCTCTGAAAACGGGAGGCCAGCCTGGGTCAGCCTGTGCTACGTGGTCAGAGCCTGTCTTTAAAAGTCAAAAGGGGGGGGGGGGACATGGCATAAGAAGCTAAGAGTGCAGTATGTTCGTGGGTTCAGGTTCTACAGTTCACGAACACGTGTCGCACACCGCGGTCTAGTCAGGCCCGGGCGCCCTGAGGACGCACCTTGCTCTGGTCGGAACTGTCCTGCCCATTGCCATCGCTGGCAGCGTGCTGCCCGCCATAGGCCGCCTGCAGCAGGACACAGCTGCTGGAGTGTGAGAGCCTGCCTAGGGGCCGCTCATATGACATCCAGCTCAAGCCGGAAGTTATTTCCCATCGCTCTGAAGAGTCAGAACAGTGTGAAGGATTGTGCTCCCAGGACCCTCACGGACGAAGCGTAGCTCTTCAGGTGGATCACGGAGGAACACCACCGAAGCTCTGCACTATCTGCAGGGGCAGCCTGCAGACGGTTTACACACACACACACACACACACACACACACACACACACACACACACGTACACAGTTGCCAAGGTCTCCTACAGGAGGAATAGCACCGGGAGCAGCTGGATCATAGCCTTCTGAGTCCTTGTTGGCAGCTTTGTCCTGCCCCTCATCCAGCTCACACTAAACTGTATGGAATCCCAAAGGACCCACTCTTCGAAGCTATCAGAGAATGCAACTCCTGCTCCTTAGCCCTCTGGACGTCCTGACTCTACCGCAGGCCAAATCCACTCAGGTTCAGAGCCCAGAGTCTGGGTAGGGCCGGCTGAGTCTGGACCTTGGCTTCCTGCTTCCTGACAGGCCCTGCACGCGCACGCAGCCACAGGATGCTGCTGCTGCTGAGGCACTGTGGTAGTCCCTTCTCTCTCCTACCCATCACATCCACCTTAGTACCTCTGACCTAGACCCGTGCCCAGCAGCCCTTACTTCAGGGTGGTTGGTGTGCAGCTCCCAGCGGTCACCAACATTCTCAAGATGCAGACTCTGGAGACTGAGCTACTGAACTCCCATCTTAAAGTTGCTCCCCAGGATTTCTGTAGGGCCCTGAAATCGACCTCTATTTGCAGTCCTCCAGACCAAGCCCAGTGTCAGCAGTGAGTGCTGGCAGAGCTCTGGGCCCTGGGTCATCACACTGGGCTCCCTTTCTGTGTCCTCTGTTTTCCCGCTCTCCTTCAGAGAGAGGAAGTGGGCGCTTCTGTACCGGAAAGTCCCGGGATTCTATAGTCACGAGGCTGTGGAAAATGCACACATACGCCAATAACACGGCATAAAGCCCGAGATGACAAGACTTGGAAGAAGGGGTCTGTGGGTAGGGACATCCATGCCTTTACAACTCCTTCATCATCATCGTTAATTCTCATCGCCCTCTGCTCATTGTACATAGTGCCGGGCTTCATAATGACATTTTTTCAAATATGAAATGTATTCCTTTCCCTTCTCCTCTTTTCCCTAGAATCTCCCCTCCAATCTCCTTCCTTCCCCTTCCTGCCCTTCTGCTTCAGTGTCTCATATATATCTGTATGCATCTATATTTACCTACAAACACATACACAAAAGGGGTTTACATGTTTATATAAAACCTAGGGCCAGGGAGTTGGGGAGATGGCTCCATGGGAAAAGTAGTTGCTGTGCAATCCTGAGGACCAGAATTCTAATCCCCAGGCCCCACGTACAAAGCTGGTCTGGCAGTGCATCAGGGACCAGGACAAGAGTCTTGGAGGCTTCTAGCAAGCCAGCCTAACTAAGTAGTCAAAACCCCAGTTTAGTAAGAAACCGGCCTCAAGATCCTTATCAGAGAGGGAGAGGAAACATTCAAGACCTCTGGCTCCAAACACAGCCATGGCCAAGCACGCTTACACACTTACACACACGCACACAAATGCACCACACCACACGGGAAGATTTACGGCCTGAGCCCTCACAGACCTGGACCACTGTGGACAACTGTGGAGGAAGTGTGGCCTTAGAGACGCGGTGAAGCGTTTGAGCTTCAAGGCTGGCACTCCAGCAGCTGTGACAGGGTACAACATCAGGACGTTCCCTTCAGCAGCTCCTTGACCACATCTGTGTTTCTACACCCTGTCTTTACAGTGTGAGCCTTGGAGGATCCAGCAAGCAGTGGGATCAAAGGGAGCCTTTGGGTTCCAGCATCCTGTCAGGTAAAGCTGTGATGTCTAGACTACAGCACATTAGCATTTTCTTTCTTTTCTTTCTTTCTTTCTTTCTTTCTTTCTTTCTTTCTTTCTTTCTTTTTTCTTTTGTTGTTGTGGCGCGATTTCCAGACAGGGTTTTTCTGTGTAGCCCTGGCTGTCCTGGAACTCTCTTTGTAGATGAGGCTGGGCTCAAACTCACAGAGCTCCACCTGCTCTGTCTCCCTGGGTGCTGGGATTAAACGTGTCACTGCCATGTCCCGCTCACATTAGCATTTTCAACAAAGTGGAGAATTAAATATATTTTCTAGTATTATTTTGTTTCCTTACCAAGGAATTTCAAGGTATTTTGTTACATACCTGGACTCTTCTCGTGATTTCATGCGTGTGGTGAGGAGGGTTGCATGTGCTCTGTCTATTGCAGGGCTCTACCTTACAGCCACCTCAGGCTGTGCAGGCCTGTGCTGTGGGGACTGACCCAGCAGCTCGGGATTCAGCAGCACACACCTCTCCCCCACCCCCACCCCCACCCCGCCCAGGAACACCAGGCACTGTCCCTCAGTTGTGTCAGTCAAAAGTGTCTCCAGATGTTGCCTCAGGTGCCTGGAGAGCACTGGTCAGCTGGGCCCTTAGGAAGCTAAGCATCACCACACACAGCCGATAGCCAGTGTAGTCTAGTGCCACACACACACAGCCCATAGCTGGTGTGTTCTAGTGTCTCACACACGCACAGCCCATAGCCCATGTAGTCTAGTGTCACACACACACACACACAGAGCTGGTAGCCAGTGTATTTTCACCCTGTCCCCTCTCCAGGAAGGAGGACACTAAGTAAGATCAGCAGCCATCAGCTGACAATCCTACTTCCTCACAAGACCACAAGAAAATGAATTAACAAGTTTCTAATTATTTATTAATGAACATTAATTAATAATTAGTAAAATATTAAAAGATTATTGGAGGGCTATTTTTACATACCTTCCATTTTAACCAGAATCCCCAGTTTTATAAAACTTGAAACGTGGGGGTTCCAACTTTTGTGTATTTAAACTTTTTCCTTCTTTTTTTTCTTTCCCTTATCTCCTCTCCCTTCTTCCTTCCTTCCTTCTTCTCAATCCCTTTCGCCCTCTCCCTTCCTCCCCTTTCTCTTTCTCAGCCTGCTCCCTCTCTCAGCCCCCTTCTCTCTTCCCAGATTCTTCCCTCCCCACCTCTCCCTCTTTCCTCCCTCTCTCCTTCGGACTCTTTCTGTCTCTCCCCAAGTCCATCCCTGCCTTGTGGTGAGACCCCCCTCCCTTCTCTAGGTCTAGGACAGTCAGTTACTCCTTCAGGCCAGGGTCCTCCGAAGCTCAGCAGCTACATTCCTGCCCTCGGTGGTGGTGGTGTACCCATGGACGAGAACGAGCATCCGCCATCCAGGAGGGCCCAGGTGTCCACCCATCGGATGAGAGCCGCTCTCTTAGGACTAGAGCCCAGAGTCCCCCAGCAGGAGCCCTTGCTCCGGTAGCTGACAAAGCACTGCGAACACGGAGGCAGAAGTGAGGCAGGATTGAGGGCCCTTAGGCTTCTGGTGGGAGCTTGGGTCCTTTTCTTTAGGCTGATTAATGGTTGGTCTGTCTCTTTAATGTTAGATTGTACTTACCCATTTCAAAGCGCCAAGAGTACCTGCAGAGCCCTGGAGAGAAAGTACTGGCCAGCTTCCCAGTGCAAGCCACCATTCATTTCTACAACGATGAGTCAGAGTCTGAGGAGGAGCAAGAGGAGGCAGCGCCCGGTCCAACCATCCTCAGTGCCAGGAGGCACGAAGCCCAGGAGGAAAGGGCAGAGTAGGGCTGGCCAGCCTCCGGGAGGAAGGGTGACAGGGTAGCGGCCGGCTCTGCAGGGGCTCTCCAGCAGAAAGGGGGTCTCTCCACACAGGAAGCTCAGAGGCTGAGACTGTGCTCAGGCCAGGAGCTTTTAATCTTTATTTTCCTGGCGGGAGTGAGTGAGTGTGTGTGTGTGTGTGTGTGTCTGACTGCCTGTCTGTGTCTGTGGGTCTGACTGTCTGTCTGTGTGTTTGTGTGTGTGTCTGTGTCTGTGTGTTTGTATGTGTGTGTGTCTGACTGTCTGTGTGTCTGTCTGTGTGTTCGTGTGCACACACACGTACTCAAGCTTAGCTTTGAGGAAGGGTGTCCAACAAGAGCTGTGTGTCCACACATGGTGTCCTCAGGGGGAAGGCCTCCAGAGCTCACTCTGTCATGCTGAGCTGCCACCCCTCTTCCCAGAGCCCCATTATCTAGCCATTCTTGCCTTCATACAAATAACGTAACTCCCATTTGAAGAGTTCATTTGGTTGCTCAGTAGCTGTCTGAAATCTATTCTTTTACTTGTGAAAAAAAAAAAAAACAGTTAAAACACTGAATAATTTCCACAGAAATAAGAAGTAAGAGGTTTTCTTTTTAGGGGATAAAATGTGTGCTTGTGAGAACTGAATTAGAGCTGTGTTTATAGGTGTGTGTCATAAAGGGTTAATTTTCTCACTTGGTGACCTGTATGGCCCTGCATTATTTACATGGAGTGGCACTATTTTTAATTGTTATCTTATGAAAAATTATTTTGAATTTCATCAAGATGACTATGCTCTTAAAGGCTCTCCCGATTATCTTACCTGAATCAGTGTTCCTGTATACACCACACTGTGAATTTTTACTGCAATAAATATTTTATAAGAATGTTTGATAATCATCTTTTTGTTTAAAGTGTTTTTAGAGTGAATTAGTTCCTGTCCTAAAGGTTTTGAAGTTTTTTTGAATTTAACTGTTAAAATATATTTTCACAAATGCAAGAAGAGGTCAGCAGGATGGCTCTGTGCGTACAGACACTTGCTACCTAGCCAGACAACCTGAGCGTGATGCCAGACCTCACACGGTGGAGGGAGCGACACCGCCTTCCCGTTGTCCTCTACCTGGAGACACCTCCCCCCCCCCCCCCCCCCCCCCCCCCCCCCCCCCCCCCCCCCCC